GGGACCCATGACAACACATAACAGGGTCTTAGAATGCTGACAGGGTGAAGCTATTCCAGGAGGAAGTTCAGAAAGAAGAATGGCCTTGAAATAGTGAGGGACAGAGCATATGCAGGAAGTAAGTGTGACTTTAAATGAAGAACCAGAGGCACCGTACAACACTATCAAAACACATGACAAAGTATTTAAAGGCTGAAAACGCCAGTCCTCACATGAGGCTATGTCTGAGCTGGGTTGAAAAGGGATACTGAGAACATAAAGTACCCTAAAGACAGTCAAAAGATCCTAACAATAGGACCGAGCAGGACATTCTGGAATCGGAAGGAAACAGGGACAATTTTCAAATGGCTAAGTAACCGTCTCGTGTATAAAAGATGGTAACTTGCCCTGGCCGGTTTGGCTCAGCAGTTAGAGCGTCAGCCCGCAGACCAAGGAGTCCCAGGTTCTAAGGGCATGAACCTTGGTTGCAGTTTGGCCCCAGCCCCAGTTAGGGTCACGTGGGTGGAAACCAGTTGATGTTTCTCTCTCACATCCATGTTTCTCTCTCTCTCTTCCCCCTCTCTCCCTCTTGCTCTATCTGAAGATAAATGCAAAAATGTCCTCAGGTGAGGGAGGAAGGAAGGAAGGAAGGAAGGAAGGAAGGAAGGAAGGAAGGAAGGAAGGAAGGAAGGAAGGAAGGAAGGAAGAAAGAAAGAAAGAAAGAAAGAAAGAAAGAAAGAAAGAAAGAAAGAAAGAAAGAAAGAAAGAAAGAAAGAAAGAAAGGCAACTTGTTTTTCATCTCTATAGAATGGGGGGGAATGCTTTTCTTTGTTTGGTAATTGACTAAGAAAAAAATGGTCCCCAGAAACCTAGTGGTTCTTCTTTCTCACCTACCTGATCTTACCACAGTTCATGCTGCAAAATTCTTCTGAGTAGACAGGAGAGAACTACTGAGCTCACTCTTGTCAATTATGGTGAAGATCTCTCCTTTACGATATTTTATTTAATGTATTTCTGTAGGAAATTTCAGTCATTTGTTTGGGGAAAGCTCTCATTGTGTGAATTTTGTTCAGAAACAGGATCCCTTCCCACTACACAAATCAGAACAGGCAAATTCTCTACTTCTGTTTCTCAAGGCAGCCATGGTACAGGTGAGAGGTAGGTTCGGCCGAGCAGATGCTACTTGGCAAGACTGCGTATCTTCACAGCGTACAAGTCCTTCTCGCCAGGCCCGCCGCATGCAGTGTGCACAGTAAGGAGGCCAGCGGTGGCAGCAACCGGAAGATGCTACTCACACCTTCCTGGGACCCCGTCTTCGCTGGGACTCCACTTAGCCCTCTGCTGTACCCGCCCTTCTCGCACCACGGTTTCTCTAGCCTTCCATCTCTTTGGTGAGCCCCCTGATATCCTGTGCACTAGTGAGGGTGCAGGGTCAGAGAATCAAAAGGAAGTTGCTTAAATAAGCTAAAAGTTCACTTCTCGCCCATGAAACATTCTAGAGGCAGGTGGGCGTGTGCTAGTGGTTAATCGCTGCCATTGACCAGCCATCGGGGAGGTCTCCGTGCTCCAAAATCCCCCCACAGCACTTCACTGGGGTCCTACTGACCTCCACTGAGCACAACAGCCGCACCAGCTGCAAGGGAGACTGAGAAATGTGCTTTGCAGCCAGGAGACCGCGTGTGGAGCCAGAAACCCGCGGCGAGTCTATCATTAGAAAGAAGGGAAGGGCGGATGCCGGGAGACAGTTGCTGCCACACTCTCCAGTAACTCTGTGTTCGGCTCAGCTAAGAACTGTTTCTGCTCTTACAACCAAAGACTTCCATTGATTCAGATTTTTTTCCAGGTTATGTCAAAGAGAGAAATGTGCAGCCAGTGTGATAGGGAGTTGACTGGGACGTGCAGGGGGGCAAACACCATACCTGGAGTCTGCTTTGGAAATAAATGTCCCACTGTAGCCTCTACTTACAAACATAAATCCAGCTTGTTATATTTGGATTTTGAGGTCTTCTAAACTTTCCTCATGCATCCCAATGTTTGGAAGTCATCTTAAAAAAAAAAAAAAGCCTTTCAAAGTTGCCTCCTTCCCTCCTGTGACGGATTAAGGCTTACACAGATTGTCTGATGTGAAAAACGGCACAGAAGCGGAGGAGTCCACACAGGTCCCTATCCTTTAAGCAACCTATTTCTCAAGCATGTATCACTGACAGGTATACATTGTAGCAAAACTAAACGTCATACGATAAACTCGTGTGCTCTTCAAATGCTGCATTCAGCCCGTTCCACTGCTTCAGCTCTTGGGTTCTGGGGTGCGGTCTCCAGGAGGGGGGCATGACTGCGATGTGCTATTCAGCCTGAAAATACACGCCTGTGCAATTTGAAAAATGCCTCCAGAGGCGAAAAGATGGAAGCAGATGAGGAGGAGGAAAGCGTAGATGAGAGAGTGAGGGGGAAAGTACCGTGATGGCTGAGTGGAAGTCTCAGGAGGGGCTCCGCAGAGACTGAAGGAGAAAACGGAGCCGAGAAGCCCAGTGCGGCAAGCGCTGATGTCAGGAAGGGAATTCCAGACTTAATACAGAGCGAGGCTTTTCCTCTGGGTTTCTTAATAAAATCTCAAGTTTTAGACTGCAGCACTTCCTTTTTTGGTATACTAGCACAGAACCAAACAGAATAACTAAAGTTCACCAACAAAAGGGATAAAATATAGTGGAATAACAACCTGTTATTTTTTTAACCCAAAGAATCCGGTTTCTAATAACACATTACAAAAAAACTGCCAGACTTTGAATCTCAGAAAGATTGCCTCCTTAGCTCTCATTTTCAAATATCTCTAGTTCTTTGATCATTTCCCAGATGTCCCAGAAACAAGTCTCTTTTTTCCCCTTCGTGATTCCTCCACGTTCTACATCTCTGAAATAAAGACCTCATTTCCCCTCTAATGATTTTGGTCATAATCCCAACTTCCTTAATACAGACACAGGGATCAGGTTTGAAGCTCAAAGGACCGGTCTGCACACGGTTTATCTTGGAAGAAGCACAGTCTCTCTTTTGCCCAGCACTCTACCCTCAAACATCCACATACATTCAGAGACCAATTCTTTAACTGGTAAGAACAATGATAGGCCCGGCCGGTATGGTTCAGTGGTTGAGCGTCGACCCATGCACCAAGAGGTCGCCAGTTCAATTCCCGGTCAGGGCACATGCCCAGGTTGTGGGCCCGATCCCCAGTGGGGGGCATGCAGGAGGCGGCCAATCGATGTTCTCTCTCATTAATGTTTCTAGCTCTCTCTCCCTCTTCCTTCCTCTCTATAAATCAATGAAGAAATAAAAATTTTTTAATTAAAAAAAAAGGAGCAATGATGGTACAAAATGTGTTTGATTTCTGTAATATTTTATAATTTATAAAAAAAATGTGTGTCCCTATATAAAACTGTTCATGTTGTCATTTTCTTTTTGCCTCCTCATTTCTGCCGTTTATAAACATATAAGAATCAGGACGTTTTATGACTTCAGGCATTACTGAGAATAATAAAATGTGAAAGGCCAATAACAAAAGCCAGAAAAACAAAAGATAATATTTTGAACCAGATCCTTATGACAAAACCCCCAGAAAAAAAAAAAAAAAAAACATGTCAAAAAAGGATTAATAAAAGAACAGAACAAAAAAAAGACAGATATGTTTATAGAGAACAGTATTATACAAGTTTTTCCCCTTTTGTTTTCAAGACTATTGAAATAAAATGAAGACTAACAGCAGTTGCAAAAACACTAAATGTATAAGCTATACCTGTATTTCTCAGGCCTTAATTTAAATATATTCTTGATATACTCTTCTCTCCTTAGAAAAGAATGTAATTTTAATTTCAAGACTAAAATAAATTTTATAAAGATACCTCAAAGCCCTTTTTCACAGAAGAAAGTTCGCAAACCATTAAAATAGCCACTCAATAAAAGATATGACCCTATAATTAAAGAACACTGAGAAACTTGTATCTTTCATAATCATACTAGGTAATCAAATTCAATTCAATAAGTAATCACTGGTATTTTGCGTGGAGTAACTAATTATTTTAATGAGATAGTATGGGTTAAGATGAGCATAATTTATACAAAGCCTAATCATTCCTTGAAGTACTCAACATACTCAGTAATATGTTTTAAAATTGTATCTCAAGAATGATGAATACAGCTATGAGGACCACATTCCCTTTGGTTTTTAGATAGGTCTGATAGCAACTATTGCGACAACTATATTATAATAACACATGAACAGGTCACTTCCTAATAGGTATTTCCTGAGTCAGTCCCCTCTATCAACAGGATTAATATGTTTATACAAAATAAGTTCTCAATATGTAAATAAAATTAGCACAAAGTAACCTATGGATGGGTAAGTACATGAATAACAGGCCTATCTCTTCAATTCCACAATAAAAATTTTATGATTTTATACCCAAATATTTAAGTAAACTAAGACTCTGCAATGTAGTCTAAAAGTAATCTTTAATGATCGATACTTATAAAAATTGTTTAGAAATTCTTCCTCAGGAAAGTCTACTTTTTAAATATGCTATGAGCTTTTAAAATAGCCACAAGAGGGCAGTATTCTCTAAGAAATAAGTTTAATATAGGCATTTATTTGTTTGCAATAAACCTTGTTTGTTACCCATCATAAATCAAATTCAAAGGCAGCACGTGTTAAGTTCAGTCACATCATCATATCTTTAGGGATTCAACAACAAAAAAAAATTACATAACATCATAATGATCACACAAACTAAATTTAAAAAGAGCTTCATATATAAATTCACTTGGTTCTCAAAACAGCATATTGACAAAATCTATACCAATACTATTTTGAAGAAGCAAACTATTAAGTGGACTGTTAAATGAACATTCTAAAAACGAAACCAAGAAATGAGATCCAGGTGTTGCAAACTACAGCATAACAGATGAGTCGCAGATTTGTTTTCATCTCTTAGGTATACGAATCAGTTTCAAGGTCCGTGACACCACATGCTTACCTTGCCAACTGTCATTGCAGACACACAACTTTTCTCCTGTGAGGTCACAGTAACCGTGATCCGGACTGCCGCAGTTGGCTTTACAGTAAGGAATGTCACAAGCTTCGCCCTTCCAGTATTTATCACATTCACAATACACTTGGCTTGGAACAGAGACGCTAGATGTACACTTCCCATGCCCAGAGCAATTGTTAGGACAAGAATTAATTCTGTAAAAGATAAGTCACATATACACTCAAATTCCAGGTAACTGAAAAAGAATTCTGGCTGATACTTTGTAAGCTTTTCAATTTGATGTCGTCTTACGTACTTCATTTAACACAATTTCACAATGGAATTCAGCTTTTTACTCTGTGCCCTTCTACCCCTAATGCAATGCAGTTATATTCATTGGCAACTGGCCTTAGTTGATCCCGTGAGTTTGCGTAGCTACCAAAACTCCAAACTTCCGCCGACTACGCTCAGCGTCTGCGGGATATGCACAGTTCCAAGCACAATGCTCCGTAAAGACTTAAGTACGCAAATGTTGTGAATATATATTTTACAGAAAAAAATACAATTCATGAATGCCCAAAAGAAACTACATGAAAAGCCAAGATATAACTTGCTTGTATAATATTTCAATAGCATGCTAGCATCTATACACTGTTATATAGAAATGAGATGTTTGTCAAATATTATTTTAAGGCCCTTTAAACGATTATATTCTACTGCATATTTATTCCCCTTGCACATGTACTTGAGACAAATCAGTTCTGTAATAACTTGCTGATTCAAGATATTTAGAATGTTCTATTCCTGGTTATCATTCTCTATGCCCCAAAGGGGAAAAAAATGTGTACTGAGTCCCTCTGTACCATCCCTGTGATGGCACCTGAAGGCGTCCCTGGTTACTTCCCTCTGCCCTTGGACTTTCAGATAAAAAGCTGTATATAAAGTTATCGTACACATAATAGATTCTCAATAAATATTATTTCTTTAGGTGAGACAGTGACACAGCTACTGCCTTGTCTCCTACAGCCCCGATTCCCTCCTGTGCAGGCGGGAATCCCCCGTCCAGGGCTGTCGGGTCGAGAATCACAGAGCACGGTGCACACAGCGCGTGCAGTCCTTCCTGAAGCTCGGACCGCGGACACTCAGCGCCCCAGCCCCGAGCACCGGGAGGCGACGAGCCCGCCCTGCCACACCTCTGCTCCCAGGAAAGTCACCCTCGCTTGGATTTGTTTACTTCATCATTTACCAACTTTAAATTTTGCAATTAATTTTCAACCAAACTTAGCATGCTACCCCCATGTCCCGAGGCTCGGAATTTCTCCAAGGCGAGCTTAGCTGGCATTCTGAGGCGTGTCACTACATCTTCTGTCACCCTGTGTCGTCTGGAATTTCACACACTAGCCCGCTCCTTGTATCGAAGAGAGTTGCAAAAACCAACAATAGACTCTTTTAAGCCAACTTATTAAAATCATTACAATACAAAATTTCAGGAGAAAAAGGGTACTTACGAATAAAAAATGTTGAAGCCAGTGAGATTGTAGGCGGCGTCACTGAAGAAATGCAGCAGCGCATAGCCGGACGTGGTGACCACCTCGGGCACGCTCTCGCTGCCCCGCGTCTCGGGGACGATCAGCCCGCTGCAAGAGAGCAGAGCTGAGCGCTGTGTGCACCCACGGGCCACGCTCAGCCGCACGTACGCCAAAGGCCCGAGTAGGGAGGGCTCAGTGTCTGAGGATGGGCAACCAGCTGGAGAATAAAGCTGACCGGGTTCCTGTCCGTGTCTCGCCCACGGCTCCACCCGGCCACCGCGCGTGGCTTCTCCTCACCCCCTGCACGGCCCTGCCCACTGCTCCCTGGGTCCTGCTAGGCCATCCCGCCTGACATGGTAAGATGGTCTCTTACGTAACTTAACATATGAAGCCTCACTCAATGCCACCTTGGTGCTCGGGCACGTGGCCTCATCCCTTTCCCCTTCCCCCTGGTTAAAAATTCTAGTGACACCAGAAGGGACATCCCACACGAGCTTAGTGACTACAGTGACAGCCTAGTTAACCCGATCTCTTCTGATACGTTAATCAGGTGTTTTAGGTCATCTAAAAATACATGCTTTTTATATGTCTTTAAAATGTTGCATACTCTCATAAATTATATTTATATAGAACTATTCCAAAATGTAGTCACTCACTTAAGGCCATATGCACACAAAAGAAAACTAAGTTGGGGGAGGGGATAAAGGTGCAAAAGTAAGAATTTAAGCTAATAACTGGACCTCCCCCTTTTTAAACCTATTTGTTCATGGAGAAAAATTAAATGTCCTCATTGACTTCTACCACACTACTCTCTCCCGCCTCGGAAAACACGCAGGATGAGGCAGAAAAGACCCTGCTAAGAACACAGTCCACTCCTCAGGACAGCCCGATCCGCTACACTGCTCAGCTTCCAGCCACACACCACCGGAAAGGGACCCCCTCATTCAAATCATATTTGACAGAACAAGATAAAGTATTAGTCAAATCATTTACTTGGCAAACATAATCACAAAAGCAAACAGAAAAGTAATCAACTCTAGATGCTTTAATAATGATGATTACCTCTACTAGCTTATGTTTGTGAAAGAACACAGACTGTAAAAGACTGTCCGTAGAATTCAAATTCAACAATACCAGTCTTAGTTGCACTTCTATATTTTTTCTTTGTCACAGGGAGATTACATCAAAGTGAGAACATTGCTAAAAATAATGCTCTCAAGCCTGTGTAATAAAAATAATGGATCTCTCTGAAACAGACTTACTTGCTTGGATGTTTGTTTGGGAGTGCTTTAAAAGCATTAAATAAATAAAGGCTTCCACCCTCCTGCATGACACACCAAGCCATTTGGACCAACCAGCCCACCACTGACGTCAACTAGAGAAATGACAAATTCTATAAAAACAAACCAATCCACCTGAATGTACTGGAGAACTGAGAAGAGACTGAGGCCATTTCTCCTTATAGGCATATGCTGATTTCGAAGTTGGAGGTGAGGTCTGAAGGGCTAAGGAACTGCGTGGTGGTACAGAGCTAGGAAATCAAAAGTGGAAGCCGGGGCCCTCTCTTTGACCTGGGACCCCCAAAGAATAAAAGCGAACTAGTAGAAGCCAGGTCCTCCAGGGGACTGCACTGCAGCTTGGATGTGAATCAGCTTAATACCTGGGTTTGGGTCCAGTTGACTGTAAATTGCTAGCGTTCCCAGGCATCCTCTGTAGGAATATAATCTCTTTCTAGGTCTCAAATTATTACTACATATGATTTTACCAACATGAGGCCCAGCACATCACTGTCCAGCACACGATAAGAAAAACAATATTAACAACTTCTCCAATCCAATCCATTATCCACGATCTAAAAAGTCCTGCCTGCAAAGTCCAATGTCTTTAGTGTAGTGTACAAGAAAGCAATACAACAGTGATGAAGGGATTATAAAACCTGAGCTCGTATTCTGACTCCATCACTTACCAGCTAGGCAACTTGGGGTCACTCAGAGAATCTCTCTGTGCCTCGATTCTTCATTTATCAAATAGCAATAACAATACCTAACTGAAGGGTTATTGTGAGGATTCAATGAGTTAATGCACATAAAGACCTCTCTTGCACACTGCCTGTCATACAATGAACATTCAGTAGGTATTACTTTTGATTGTGTAATCTGGTGCCTACCTATTTTTTCACATTACCTATAATCAAGTTACTCGTAACTACTTACTGTTATCTATGATCCCAATATATAATGTGCTTTAGTATACCTATGCCTTTGTACTCATGTTTTTCTCTATCAAATATCCTATCTGGTCCTCGTACTTTGCCTATCATTCTACTCAAAATGAAATTCACCAAGAAGAATTAGTTACTTCTGAAATCATATGGTACTCTTTTCAAAACCTGATCATAACATTTATTGTACTGTGTAAAAAAAATGTTTACATGCTGCCACCAGTACCAACTACTGTGTAGTGATATACCTTCCTGTCTCTTGGAATTTCCCGAGGGCCAGGAGTGTCTGTTATTCATGGTGAGCCCTGATAGCTTATGGTAATGAGATGACTCACGGTGGGTCCCTAGATAGCTGAAGTTAATCAGATGATTCAGGACGGGAGGTGGCCACACCAGAAAGACCAACCATGTGATTTATGCAGTTGGGGCTTTGAGCCACAAGAAATCAATCTGACTTCCAGAGAGAGGGTGGGGGCTAGAGACTGAGTTGGGTCTTGTGGCCAATGATACAATCAATCATGTCTACATAACGAAACCCCAATAAAAACTCTGGACACCTGTAGCTGAGGTGAGCTTCCTGGATGATGAGACACACTCGTGGGCTGGGAGGGTAACACACCCGGAGGACAGGGACGTTCTGTTCATGATCCTCCCATACCTCTCCCTATGGGTCTCTCCACTTGGCTGGTTGTGATTTTCACCCTTTATAGCAAAACCATAATGAAATGTATAGTGCTTTCCTGAGTTCTGTGAGTCACTCTAGCGAACTATTGAAGCTGAGGGGGTAGTGGACAACCCTAAATTTGTAGCCAGCTGGTCAGGAGCGTGAACCTGGGAACCCCTGAGCTTGCAGCTGGTGTCTGAGCTAAGGGCAGTTCTGCAGAGGGCTGTGCACTGAACCTCTGAAGTGTGGCCAACTCCAGGGGGTGGGCATCTGAAATGCAACGGTCTATATCTGATTTCTTACTACATCCTCCAGGCTTTTTTTTTTTTTATCCTCACCCAAGGACATTTTTTGTTCAGATAGAGTAGGAGGGAGAGAGAGAGAGAGAGAAACATCGATGTGAAAGGGTCACATCGCGTGGCTGCCACCCGCACAACCAACCAGGGCCGGGGACAAACTGCAACCAAGGTACATGCCCTTAGCGGGAACCGAACCCGGGTCTCTCGGGACCGCAGGCTGATGCTCTAACCGCTGAGCCAAACCGGCCAGGGCCCTCCAGGCTTTTGATAGCCTCTGGAATTGAGTAGGTTATCCAATGTTTCTCGGATAGCAAATATTTATACAACTGGAATAATCTGGACAATTGGATTCTGAATTCTTAGCAACATACAGTTTAAGTTTTAAGTCAGTGAACTGTCAAGCCCTGATCCTGGCTCTACCATCTATTATATCTAAAACCTAATTTCTCCAAGTCTCAATTTTCTCAGCTGTAAAATGGGAATGACAATAATTCTTCCACAAGATCCTCATGAGGATTAAATAACATCTAAAATTTTTTATTGATTTGAGAGAGAGGAAGGGAAAGACAGAAACATGAATGTGAGAGAGAAACACAGACTGGTTGCTTCCCACATGCACCCAGCAGGGATCGAACCTGAAACCTGGGTATGTGCCCTGACCAAGAATAGAACTCGCCACTCTTTGATTTGCGGGACGATGCTCACCTGGCCGCGATGGATTATGTGACATTTAAACTGCCTACTGAAGTGTTTAGCATCGAGTGGATATTCATGATGTTGTCAACTCCCTCAGGACAGCTAACAGGAACACTTGCTAAAGAAAAGTCATGGACTCCATCTTCATGGTCACATACTAAATCCCATCCTGCTAAATGTCTTACAAAACTTGCCTTTAGTGTCAAGGAAGGGCAGGTAAGAGTGTTGACAGACCACTGTTAATTAATGCAAAGTCATTACAACTCTTAGAAAAACAAATGAAAAGGCACACATCTAAATGATGGTCAGTCAGTGCTGTCATACAAATAGAGTAATGATAGGAGAGTGACATCTAAATTGCTAAAAAATTAATGTATGGACTGGGATCTCATCTAATTGTCACGATGAATTATCTTACAGTGTAATTATTCATGAGACTGTACTCGATTTTCTATCTACTGTCCTTAGATGAAGGGCTATTCATGGCTACTCTTTTCAAACATTTCAAATATTAAGTTCTAAAAGTATTTTGGGCAATAGCAATAGCACAGAACAAGTGTTTAAGCTCCCAAGGAGTCATTTTGAAATTGTCATTTGGGAATACAAGTCTTTACATGTTTGTCCAAAAAAAAACAATCGTCACAGTCTTGATAAACCAAATATTTGCAACATAAATAGTAAAAAAAAAATTTTTAATTTTGACAGAAATTAACTTTTATCTATGCTTAAATTTTTAACAATGACCAAACATATGAGAGATATTACAAAAATAGGGAATAATGTAATAAGTAACTCTGGTCAACAATCACATTACTTAATTTATACACAAAATCTACACTAAATGCTCATAATTTTTCCTATGTCTAATATATTTTCTCCAATTTGTAATACATTTTATAATAGTATATATATACATAAAGATTTTTTCATTGATACTGCAAATTTTGTGATTTAAAAATTAAGTCTATCTAATAAAATATTTTTAATCAAAATTTCCAAATTTTCAGAACTGATAGACACACCTTCTTTATTAAATTATTATGTAAAGCATAACCTTTTTATAAAATTTTAAAATGTTATCATTTTGCTAAAATAAAAGGACAACTATAATATATTATATATATATACACACACACATATTTCTTCATCAACTAGAACTCATGTTAATCTACCCAAAGAGTTCTGAAAACATCATCAAATCACTTTAAAAGAATACACTATATTCAGCAAAACTAAAGGCTATTCATTAAGAAATCTATATTTCTGATAAAAGATTTATTTATATTTGCTATATCAATACTGGCATTACATATACCAAAGTTGACAGTCAATATCTCTGCAATTTATTTTGAAGTACAGATCAGTGTATGTATTTAAAATTAATAAATTATATATTTACTTTTCTAAAACTGTAAGTTCATCCATTAAACATCAGCACTCACCTGAGTACAGCTATTAAAGGTGCATATATTGAATCTCCATCATAAACATACATGTGATCCCAGCTACATTCTGTAGCAAAATGATTGAATCTTAATCTCAACACTGCATTTGGACTAAAAAAATAAAATATTTTTAAATTAATATGTGATATACAAAACACAGTCTAAAGACATTTTAGGCATAGTATTATATTAAAACCTATTTACAGATAATTTTGCTATAAATCTTTAAGTCACCAGTGTAAGAGATTGATAAGCAGTCATATCTAATTTGTAAGAAAGATGTGCAACTGCAAAATTAAAGGCCATATGTGTTCATCATTTTTAAAAAATTCAGTCCACAGGAAATGTTCTACCTCTTAATTAAGGTGGAGGTTACATAGATTATATACATTACTGAAATCTGACTGAACTGTATACTTAATATGGGTGCATTTTATTTCATGCAATTGTACCTGAATAAAGTTGAATTTTTAAAGTCAACACTCAAGAAACAACTATTCTTATTTCCACACAAACCTTAACTAGAGGCCCTAATAAAGTCTTCAAATTTTAATTAAAAGGTCTCAACAAGACACACTATTAGCAAGCAAACAAAATGAGAACATAGTGCACAGGGAATTAATACCTTTTAAGTTCTAAAAAACTTTTTTAAAAATCCCCAAAATACCAGTTTTCCAAATACACTCTTTAAAAATCATAAAATGGTTCAAACAATTCATATCAATTCATTTATGATCTATTCGCAATGTTTAAATAGACAAATTCAGTCTCAAGCCCTTATTACTGAAAAATACCTCTAAAAGGATAATTCACTCTTTTCTACAAAATGTTCTTTTTTAAACACCCTTAGAACTAAAATGCTAAATAATAGGACCCAATGGTATAATTCAGCATGAAATATTTTTACTTTCTATGAAATCTTCAAACTCCATAACAAGATGTTTAAAAGAAGACAAAAAATGCCTGCTTGATTTAATGCCACACTAATATAACTCAAAATTAAAATATATGTCAAAATTAAACTATTATCACAAGCGAATGGGTATTGTAACTTATATTAAATATCTAAAAGTCGTAAATCCCATAAAAACATTGTGAATAATGTTTTTCCAATAATAAGCAATGAAATAAGCTATATAATTAAAAATTTGTTATACTTGACTGCTTTAACATTAATATGATCATCTTCTTTACCATTTCAGAATAAAATAAGCATACCTAAATTGTATACTTACTAGCCTTCAATTAGCCATGTACATTTAGTTTTATACTTATAATTAATTGGACCATCTGTTAAATATCCAGAAGGTTCTGTTAACCTAGAAAATAAAATCATGAAAATAATTACCTTAAAGTAATTTTAAGACATATAGTAGCATAACAAAATTTTAATTAAATCAAAGGAATGGGATGTAGCAATTTACCAAAAACAGAATTACAATTTAGAAAACTTTTCAAATTGCCATGTATCTCTCTACATCTCAAAATAAATAATTTTGGATTTCTTTAAACCTTGATGTATTAGGACTGTTTCATTCTACAAAGAGGGAAAATGCACTGAAAGCCTGAATATTATACTGATGGGTTGAATGCTGACACGAAACACATGAAGTTAAATTTCCCTGGCACAAAAAGTAGGTGGAGACAAAAGAAGGAAGACCAAATACACATTGACAAGGGGAGATCTTTGGAATAGAGAAATAGTATGTGTGCATACTACTTTCAGAGTTACACTGTTAGCTGTGTTTGTTTTCCATGCACCCGGACTGCTGAGGTAGCTATCACCAGACATTGAGTTCAGCTACCTGTTTTTATTATCATTTTCTCTTGTCTATATAGTTTTCAGAATTTAAAAATATTTAAAACTGGATCCCAATTCTACTTCATTTTGTTCTCCTTAGTGCCAGCCCAATTACTTGATCAACAAAAGACCATATTTTAAATAATTAAAATAGCTTCCCATTTAGCTTTTATATATTTATATAAGCGTACAAACACAAAACACATTCATCCATCAGGGCTTATCAGTCCTTATATAATTACATGTCAAATATATATATACACAGATATCAGGGTCTTTATCTAGTTTTAGATAAAATTAAATTTTCCTTACATTAAAGAGTCTTAGAAACATCAGGGGGAAAAAATGTATCATCTACCCAAATCAGGGTTGACAGAAAGGTCAGTCAATATGAATGTTATTTGTAAATCTTTCATAATCCTTGACAATTTACTCTGGGCAAAAAGGGAGCTAATTCATGCTTAGAAAAGTTTCTGAAGAGCAACAGACACATTTCAATGTTCTCAAATTGATGTAATAATAAATTGAGCATTTTCTAAATGTCAGGTACTACTGTTAGTGCATAATGTGTTAACTCATTTAAAAAATCCCCCAAACCCTACAAGATAGTAAGTAGTTATTAATCCTATATTAAAGACAAGAAAACGAAAGCACAGTTAAATAACAGGTTAAATAACTTGTCCTGATTTTTCACTTCCAATAATACCAGATGAGGTAATTCAGACAAACGCGCCACTGAGGACAACATAAAAAGCTACGGAACAATTTTAAAATCTTAAAAGCATGCTGTAAGGAACAAAATGGTAAGATCTGCCAAGCCAAGATCAAGAAGTTGCAAATTCCAGGCATTCAGAGCTGCTTTTGCTCTGGAGAGATCTATTTAATAGACACTGCCAAAGGCTGAGAGTGCTTTTGGCAGCCTCAACGAGGGGGGAAGGGGCTGAAGTTGGAGGCAATGGCCCACATAAGGTAGGGGTTCGAATAAACAACATGGCACTTTGACTTGGGACACAATGACTTGCTATTGGGGTAACGGTGCACCAAAAGCAAGCTAGCCCTTACACGGACTGCAGCCCAGCTACGAGTCATCCAGGTGACAGAAAACCCCAAGACTTACAATTGGCTAAAGGTGCTACTAGAACTGCCAATGTGCCAAGGCTCCAAACAGGTGAGACAAAAATTCTCTAAAGAAAAATAACATTATCCTAGGCCTCAAATTATTTCTACCTATAATTTTTAAAATAAAATGTCTAGCATGAACACAACTAATTAGCCTTATGAAGATACAAGACAACAAAATAAGAACCAACAGACAACAGAAAGAGACCTGAAGATATTCTAATTGTGGATATTTGTGGAATCTAATGAACAAAATAAACTGACAAACAAAACATATCCAGAGGCGTGGAAATAGGAAACAGACTGCCAAACTTCGGAGGGAAGCGAGGCAGGAAGAGATAAACCAATGAACTTATATGCATATATGCATAACCAATGGACACAGACAATAAATTTGACATTTTAGATGAAATGCAACTTGACAAAACCAATACAAGTAAAAATAAAAATTACAAATATCCCTCATAGAAAAATCCTAAACAAAATATCAAATTTAATCTGATATATATATTTAAAATGTGTATAAAAATAACATGTAACATGTTTATGAGGTTTATGAAATAGCATGATATCTTTGGGGAACTGCAAGTGATTCAGTGGATCAAGGAGCAATGTCTAAAGAGTATACAGCACACACATGACAGTGTACGAAAATCATCCCAGGCCCGACATAAACCCCCTTCAGGGCAAAAATAACCCAGCTAGACATAGGCAGTGCACAGAAACACTGAAAGGCAAGTAGAAACAATTCCTGCTGCCTGAGTAAAAAAAAATTACAGTAAAAGCAAACAATAGATTCACCAAGATCCTGGGGAGAAAATGTGGGGAATGAGACTCTTAGAAGAATTAGGACATTAGAAAGCTATCCAGTGCTTGAGCCTAGGAATTTGGGAAGCCACATCAGGGCAGACCACGTGCTCAGAAAAGAGGTGACAAGACTCGGACACTTTTGCCTCTGGCTCATTTTCAGAACGAGAAGGAAGTGGGGCTCAGGCAGTCCTAAACAACCTGTCTAACACTGAAAGGGTGCCACGACAGTCCATCTGCAAAGGCTGGGGGAGTTCTTTCTTTGTCTTGGCTCCAGCACTGAGGGACATTTATTACAACACTACCTGACCACAAGCTAGAGGAACAGAGACTTTAGAGACCACACACAATAAAGAATACAGTCATTACAAAACTAGTTTAGAAAAGTCGCTAAGCAAGTACATAGCTATGACACACACAAGCAATAAAAATGAACCCTCAGGAGGGGGAAGAATCTAATTTCTAGAGTTATCATATTATAATCATCAAATGTCCAGTCTCCAACAACAACAACAAAATTACAAAGCATGCAAAGAAACAAGAAAGTAGGGACCATCCACAAAAGTTAACAAACTGTCCCTGCAGAAACACAAGACACTGGACTTGCTAGACAGACTAATTCAACTGCTTCAAATACGCTGACGAGCTCAAGGAAACCAGTAAAATGATTATTTCAACAAATAAAGTACATCACTAAAGATCTAGAAATTTTCTTATTACAACCTCAAAGTCCTCAGTACTTCCATTCTCCCAAAAAGCAAGGTAGCACAGGGGGAATCTTGTCTAAGTTTCCTCTGGATCCAAGCCTAGGTGCAGATCCCTCAGAAGAGTCCCACTAAGAAAAATCGTCCCTAAGTTTCTAACTTATAGTTGCAACAAACCCTTAAAATCAAAATAGTACTCATTTAAATTGTAAAAAACTCAAAATTTGGGCTGAACCTAATGATACAAATTATCAGACATAAATTAAAACTGTATAATAATAGTTCAGAGCCTCAGGGACTTAATATTTTTAAAAGTGCTAATTTGTTCCATGACCCTACACAGCTAACTTCTAGTTCAACTTCTATGATGCAAGAATATCACTTACACATATTCAAAAAGCACTTGAATACACAATTATGAAACACATCACTCTTTTTATCTGGACATTTACGATCAGGCAGCCCTGCTTTGCAAGTATCACCTACAATACAATCTATCTTCCTTGTTGGGAATACGCCCCTGAAAACGAACTTGAGGAAACCGCCTCTTCTCTGTTCTCCCCAAACCTCTTCTTTTCTGCCACCACCATTCTAGGACTGACCCACTCCTGTCTTATGCTTCTCAACTCCTAACTCTTGGTTTAAAAGTATCTTCCCTCCTTCAAAGGAACATATCCTCTAGTAGCCACCCCTATAACTTCTCTGCCCAGCCGGTGTGGCTCAGTGGCTGAGCGTCGACCTGTGCACCAAGAGGTTGCCGGTTCGACTCCTGATCGGGCCTGATCCCCAGGAGGCTACCAATCGATGTTCCCTCTCGTCGATGTTGTTTCTATCTCTCTTTCCCTCTCCCTTCCTCTCTCTCTAAAAAAAATCAAAGAAAAAAAAAAGTTTAAAGAAAATGCTACTCTCCTCAACTCCTTCTCAAACTTCATCTCCATCTCTAACTAAAGCCCCGGCCAGGTCCCCCTGCACCTCCACTTACCGCCGAGAAGGTTCCTCTTGGCCATTCCCCCTACTAGAAACACGGGGGCTGACAAAAACCAAGATGAAAAGGATGGGAAGCCCTTTCTCCCCATCCGGAGACAGGACTAGGGGGAAAGCCTCTGCCACTTCCACGATAAGAGCAATCCACCCTTCACAGCATCTGCTCCCTTCCTCAGCATCCACACCTTCAGCCCCAGGCACCTGAAACCCAGCACTCCCGTGGGCACACTGAGGACGGGCACACCGAGGATGGGCACACCGAGGACGGGCACACCGAGGACGGGCACAGTGAGGACGGGCACACCGAGGACGGGCACAGTGAGGACGGGCACACCGAGGACGGGCACACCGAGGACGGGCACACCGAGGACGGGCACAGTGAGGACGGGCACACCGAGGACGGGCACACCGAGGACGGCACAGTGAGGACGGGCACACCGAGGACGGGCACACCGAGGACGGGCACACCGAGGACGGGCACAGTGAGGACGGGCACACCGAGGACGGGCACACCGAGGACGGGCACACCGAGGACGGGCACACTGAGGACGGGCACACTGAGGACAGCCTCACAGGCAGGAGCTGTTCCTCTCCTCGGGTCCTGAAGTCTGGCACTCCAACGTCACAACACCTGGTTTTCCATCTTCTCCTACCTTCTTACTCCTAATGCCTTTACATTCCAACTGCGTAGGGGTGTCCAGAAATTAGGGAGCATCCATTTCAGCTCCCTAAAAAGTAACACAGACGTCCTACGTAACTGCCGCTTCTGACGTGGCTTCTAGGACGCTCTCTGGGTTTCGAACCACTAGCTTATTCTGTGCGGTGGCACTCATTCCTGAATGGAGAGCCGTGCTGACATGGTAACCCAGATCAGGACTGCATAACCGACTGGCCCGCTGCCTCT